CCTAAATAGGGCTGGCATCTAAAAACCCAACCCTGAACATCTGAAAACCCAATTCTTCGACATTTCACCAAGGTCACTATCCTCTTTCCAAATTTCAGGTCATTCGACTGTACATTGTAATATAGAGGCACAGAAGCCAATAATATAGATTTTTTACTATTTTAACCCAAAATAAGCTTTATTTTGCAAGACTTGGAAGCAAAATCTTAGCATAATATTTATGCAAAGCTATATGTATCCCCATGCCAAGTTGCAGGGTATTGGGCTGTCATAAAGTGGAACAAAAGCAAAAATATATGCATTTCCGACATTTTTACCCAAAATAAGCTGATAGTAGCATTTAGGGGAGTGAATCTACCACTTATCACCATAATGATACATTTTGTGGGACAATTTCGCGTTATTGTTGAAATATTTTTAAAAATTTAGATTTCTGCGCAGAAATCTGTGCAGAATTCTGCAGATTTCTGCAGAATTCTGCAGATTTCTGCAGAAATCTTCACCCTGTGTGTCAATGGAATTTCCCTTATGGTTCATTCAACTGATACTGCTGGTTACTAGCCAGAGTGTCAGCCTTTGTAGCTTTCATCCGCTCCCCACACTCTCTATACGGGTAGCATAGTGGGAAGTAGATGAAAGATAAAAAGGCTAACACTCAGGCTACCTGGTTACAGGATCTGGTCTTATGCTTGCCTGTATAGCTCAAACGAAACGTCTGTTACGTTGTATGTCCTCGTCTGTAATGTGTATAGCTCGTCATCACTTTGTGGAGAATTGTTTTACTTCATAAATTACTTTAAAGATCACAATTTTTGTCAAGAAACGAAAAGAACAGCATACAGTGCAAAGCTATCCCCATGCCAAATAGCAGCGCACTAGGCACAAGCCAAATTGAATGCATTTCCGACAAGTTATGCCCAAAATACATGTAACCTGATAGTAGCATTTTTAGGACAGTAAATCTACCGCTTATCACCATAATGATACATTTTGTAGGACAGTACGGTACGAAATCTTTTAAAAAGCAGATTTCTGCGCAGAAATCTGCGCAGATTTCTGCACCCAGCGCAGATTTCTGTGCAGAATTCTGCGCGGGGTGCAGAATTCTGCGCAGAATTCTGCAGATTTCTGCAGAAATCTGCAGAAATAACTGGATCCCTAGGGAACTATCACTGTTATCTACATAGTTGTTGTCATCTTCTACATCACCATGTGGAATGTCAATTGTCCAGGACAAACTATACTTGAAAAGTGAGAGGTAGTCCGGAATTAGAGTGTCTGTCCGGAATTAAAGTGTCGCCTGTTGGGTCAGTATAGGTTGGAGGCTGTTATCTTTTTGTTTTCTTTCTTTTTTTATTAGACTTTGGCAATCTCTAGTGATCTGACTTATACAATATTGTTGAACAAAGTAAAACTTGCATGAGTACTGTAACTTATATTTCCCCCCATACCTACCTGACTGTGGACTGGACTTTGCTGCTCCGTGGAGTTGGTGGGTTAGCCCCTGTAGCAGCTGGAACAGGTTGTCTTTATCTGTGACCCTGGACAGAAACAATGATATTGCAAACATAATTATACAAGCTTGAATAATATTATATAATATTAAGGTAACACTGTAACGTAAGCAAAAAGGAGTTTGTTACTAAAACGGAAATTTCTACATGTTACATAATACATAACTGTAATGTTGATGTATGGAAATAAATGCACTGCGCCTGCGCGAAACCCGTAATGTATTGTACATAGCACTTTGGCAGAATGTTTCATATAAGGTCGTATTCGCTCATATAAGGAAAGCAACTCGTCTGTAGTTTCCAAATGTCATGTTGGAAAATATATCTTCTGCAACCAGCAAAATTCTAATGCAACGTTGCCCAAAAATCAATCGAAAAACGTGAAAATACAGGGTTTTGCGCAGGCGCAGTACGTTCTGCTGACGTGCTGCAAAATTATGTAAATACAGTATCTTGCATTATACATGAAACTGTGGCTACCTGACATGTGGTAGACAGATGAGAGCTGCCCAGAGTCTCCACAAGTTTTCCTGGACTGGAACAACCTTGAGTTGGGACAGGATCAACTGGACTGGTTTCGGCTGGTTGCTGACTGAACTCTGCCCTTTTCTTTTGCTGTAGAAACATCAGTAACACAACAATAAGTCATGATCAGTAACTTACTGAACATTTCCTGCAACACTTTGCTTAACTTTAAGCATACTGATACTGAAGTGAAGCTTCTTGAAGGTCTTTCTATATTCAATTTGATACAAACACAATAGTATGTAAGAAAGCAGTTCATTTAACAGTAAGTGAGACTTATTTCTTGAATTCTAAAAAGTCTTCTTCGGGTAGCTTTATATTATTATACAGTGTACATGTATGTAGTGGGTTTTTTTTCACTTATACAGTGAGTCAGACTTATTTCTGGCGTAGGCGGTATCTCCACCTTTATAAACCTTTTAAAGTCCTTTTAGAAAGTATGGACTGGACTGGACTGAAGTGGTTTTCCAAAGTACTTATATCATATAACTTCATTTATAGATATTAAGTAAGACATATTTCTTCAAATTTTACCTTTTCTTGATGTCCTTGAAGTCCAGTGGATACCTGTCCCAGGTGGCCAAAGTAGCACCTGAGTCAGGTGGGGGTCGCTTCAGCAGAACCAGCTGAGTCAGCACCTGCAGCACACCTGCTTCACCTGTCTCATCACCTGCATCACCTGTCTCATCACCTGTCTCACACACACTGATGCAGTAGTGCAGGAAGGTTGGCAGGATGTCCTGTAAAAAAAATCTCATAATTTCAAACTTCCGATGCAAAAATTGATGTAGGTAGGCAAAGTAGGTAGAGTTCATTCTAAAGTAAAATTACAGTTGTATTATAATAGCAAATACTCCACTGGCCAAAAAATTAGATGACTCCAAAACACCTACGATTCATACCAAAGTACAGACTATCACCCTAAGACTCATGTGAATCTTCAATACAAGAACCAAAATTAATGGAATGTAGTATGACCTAAGAAGAAGAGTCTTTAAGACTGACCTTTTGGAACATGTTGATGATGAAGATTCTCCTGAAGAAGTAGAACACCTGCTGTCTGGAGTAACCACTGTCACGGACCTGGGGGGGGGGGGGGTAATCATGTTATTTTATGCAGCACATCAGCAGAACGTACTGCACCTGCGCAAAACCCGTAATGTATTGTACGTAGCATTTCGGCAGAATGTCTCATATAAGGTTGCATTTGCTCATATAAGGAATAGGTTAGCATTCCGACTACAGTAGTTTTCAAAATAAATATGTCAAAAAAGATCTGCAACAGTCTGCAACAGGCAAAATTCTGATGCAACGTTGACCAACAACCCAGCGAAAAACGCGAAAATCCAGGGTTCTGCGCAGGCGCAGTACGTTCTGCCCACGTGCTATTTTATGCAGGGCTGGAAATACTGCATGACTGTGCACCTTTAGTTAATGCACCCAAATTTGGAGCTGTGCACCCAATTTTTTCTCCATGCTGACAGTTCCTGCAGTTTTCTTCAGGGCGTCTGCTGTATCTTGACCATGACGGCATATGCATGGTTACACTCAGTTCTGCATTAAAATGATGGTGAAATGTAAAACTTGTGTTGAGTGATATTTACTGGTACATGTTTACATCAGCATGTGACAGGCCAGGGTAACTCCTGACCACATTTATCAACATACTTAGGTTATAAAATCATTGCTGGCAGAGTAGGCATTCGTCAGTCTTACAAGAACATTACTGGCATAAGCCAGGGTAATTTCACAATTAGTATGAATTCATATAATACACATTTTACATACATGTAGGTTCAGCCATATTAACTGGCATGTGCTTACAATACAATTATGACTTTCCAATATTCAGATTTCTTGATTTTAAAACCAATCTTTTTTGACAGATAAAATTACAGGGGCTTTTCTTATCTTTTGATTTTTGAACAGAATATACTAAGACTAGAGGGTTATTTCAGACTGAAATTTTATGACTTAGGAGGGAAATATAAAGAAATGTGGATTTAATACAATACAGACCAAAATGCAAGAACTAAAAAAGGAACATGTCTTTAAATTTGCAAAAAGTGCTACTACAACTTTCCATTCATGATTGTTCAAAGTTGCTGTCTAATTTGAAATAACCTTGACTTGTCATGTTTGTGAAGAACAAGCTACTAGACTTGTATTATATTACTGCACAATTAAGTTACTGTACTACATTGTAGTGTAAGTACATTGTAGGCTTGATGTTTACTACACAACTGGGGCATGCATTCAGATAATGCACCAAATATTAGGTCAGCACACACTTACTGTAGCTGTTTAAAATTTTGCTCAATAATAGGCCCAAGATTGGACTTTGAACTCGAAGGCTGATTGACGAGGGCCTGCATGGGGGGGGTAGTGATTACGAAATACGCAAAATTTTCACCACCGATTACGATTTACGTTAAGCCTTAGAGCTGATTACGACTTTACGCTTTCTGGCTAATGTACTGATTATGAGTTATGTAGATTTTGGGAGAGGGTACCTACGGATTACGAAGACTAAAATGGCCTGATTACGCCTTACAAAAAAGGGCATGCAGGCCCCCACTCATGTGACAGGTTAAAGTTCTACTGTCAAGTGTTTGCTGAGTTTTTTTCTGAACCAATCAGTGCACAAAAGCAGCTCAGATCCAGCCAAGATTGTGCAGGGAACAACGCCAAACCTCCATTTTGAACTGGTACTGGTAGCTTAGAGTCTGCTGTGAATGTACAAATGTACATTGAATATTTTACTGTATTTGACAAAATAAATCCAGCTTAATTCTAACAGTTTGCTGTGCTGAAGCACTGTAGTGGTAACAACAGCAGCGAAAAGCAAGAAGAAATGGACACAGAGGAAGACAAAGTGAACAGCAGTGAGGCCATCACAGCTGGGAACTGTGCAGACAGTGACACCACCGTTGGTGACAGAAATGTGCAGGTTTCAGGCCTTGGCAGAGAAGGCAGGGAAGACTGGGACACAGAGCCACTAAGTCTTCAGACAACAACGAGAAGGCAGGGGGCAGCCATGAAGGAAAGAAACACCTCAGATACTGCTAGTTTGGACCTGGTCCAGTCAAATCAGGTCATCATACAAGAGGACATCACTGTGAAGCATGCAGCTTTTGTGCAGGTATTCTTAAACATTTGTACATGATTGTCAAAATGACAAAGGGTTCGCGGGTTTGAATCCCGTCCATGTCACCGATCTTGTGCCCTTAAGCTTGGGAAAGGCACTTTACATGACTTTCATCACTTCACTCAGGTGTAAATGAGTACCTAGCTTCGGCTAGGGACGTCCCTCGGATAGGTCATTAAATGGAGGTCCCGTGTTTGGGGAGAGCCACACCCCACGCATGTTAAAGAACCCACCGCACTTATCAAAAAGAGTAGGGGGCCTTCCCGGTGTGAGTAGAGCTTGTACATGTACATGTACAAAACTGGTGTGTTACGCCTAGAAGTGGTTTACTGGTTATGCAAACAAACAAACAAAACTGTACCATTTCGTGACATTATATAATTATATAAAACCTAATAAATTATTATTACCGTTAGGTGGGCAACGACAACATCATTAGCTCAGCCCCAACAGATGAGGGTCAAGATTCAGCAATGCTTGGAGCCACAGCAAGCCCCACACAGTCTTCAAACCCTCCAAGTCCTGGCAAAGTTCTTGTGTACCGCAGGGTACAGATAGAAAACAGCAAGTATGTGCAAATTGGGGACAACAACCGCATGGTGATACCAAAAGTGACACCACAGGAAGATGGTAAGTTGTATTTTTCAGTTAATAATTTGTTCAATGTTCTGATAACATTTAGCAGGAGTTGCTTTATCAGATCAACAGAAACTGTACTTAATGCAAACATAAAATGTACTTGTTCAAGGGGATCTAATAATGGGGGAGGGGGGTCATGACCCCATAATGTCTTGATTGTGTCCCTGGTCCACTCTTTGCACATTTTCCAGTTCATTTGACTGTCTTGATTTTTCCCCAGCTTTTGTTAAAGCTTGCTGCGAACTTGACATTGACCCCAGGACAGCTGATGACATCAGAGAGAAACTGAGTCGTGCAGACGTTCTCGAGCAGTTTGCTAAGAAAATGGCTGAGACATACAGCGTAACATGCAGGATAAAAAGTGCTACAAAAGGGTGCATCTTGCTGGAGCTGGAGGTTCCTACAGAAGCAGACCGGCTCCAGCTCCTGCGCATGGCCAGAGACGGGACCTTGCAGCAGGTACTTTCATTTAAATACTTATGTCCATTAGCTGACATTACAATGTAAATTTTGTAAGCATCATTCTGTGTGCAAGCACGTCTGACAATGGGGAACAACAGACATTGAACCAGAGAAAGAGAGAGAGAGAGAGGGAGAGAGAGAGAGGGAGACACGGGGAGAGGGAGAGAGAGAAAGGGAGAGGGAGAAAGAGGGAGAGAGGGAGGGAGAGATGGACAGAGAGGGAGAGAGAGGGAGAGAAAGGAGAGAGAGAGATGGAGAGGGAGAGAGGGAGAGAGAGGGAGAGAGTAGAGAGAGAGAGGAGGAGACAGGGAGAGGGGAGAGAGAGAGGGAGAGGGAGGGAGAAAGAGCTAGAGAGAGCTAGAGAGAGCTAGAGAGAGAGAGAGAGAGAGAGAGAGAGAGAGAGAGAGAGCTACAAAGAGAGAAGGAGAGAGCTAATCTTCCCGGACATTTCAGGTTCTCCTGGAGACGTTCCTGCCGGAGTTAGGGGCCGAGGGGAGGGCGGTGAACATGAACCTGGCCATTGGCGTCAGGAACCCTTCACAGGACATGCTGGACGAACTGCAGGGGGCTGTGGCTTCAAGTGGTGAGTGCAATTTTGGTGTACAATGTACATGGGTGTAAAGCCTAATTTTCTTAGGCAGGATAACAGTGTCTTGTTAGGGCCTTACATGCCACACACGCATGTTGTGACGTAATTTACATTTTACAAGGTCCTACAGAGTCGGACATGTTTTACTGAGTGTGAGAAAATAGAGGCACTCTGCAAAATTGTATAATTTACAGTCATGTACCTACAATATAGTACTCTTCTTTGCACAGCACTGCATACATTATATTACATGATCAGGGTTAATGAAATGCCATCACAGTGATATTATCTTAATATTTTCGTTCATTCTCTTCTTTTTTCCATCACAGATCATGAGGATGTTGTGGTGGTGGAAATTCCAATGGAAAAGGGAGCCTCTAAGCAGACTGATGACGACTTAGCTGAAGGTTTTTATATCAAAGTCAACAATATGTCTAGATGCAGTCTGCAAACTTAGATATTTGACAGCAGCTAACTTTGTACATGATTGAGTCTAAAATAGTGCACTGTATGGTCCAAGGCCCATTAATCCTGTATTTTGATGATTATTCACTATCTTAATTTTGTCATTTATTTTTTGTTACAGACATTAAGGTTCTCAGTTTCTATTCAGTATCATATTGTTGTACCTGGCTCTGAAAAATGGTACTTTACAGTTATGTATACATGTATTGTTGACTAAGTTACATAATTCTACAATCTTGTACACGATCAATCATCCCACACCCTGGAAAAAAGTGCAACGTTGCCCAGTAAAATGCCGTCTATCTAAACTATGCATACTCCCAGGGGAGTGCTGCACATGTCATACTAATAAATGTAACCTGTATGTACATGTAATATGTAATCTGGCAGATAGATGTAAGTGGAGGTTACATCTGTCAGATGAGTTTTTGTTGCACTACTAACAGTAAGGCCATGTTGATTTGATTATATGGATGACATCCGCGCGCGCATGAATTTTAGGCCGTTTCAAAAAAAAAAGAAAAGTTTTCAACCATACTGTAAATCGTACAAAACAGTTGCAAAATCAGCAAAAATATGCCGTAAGTTACAAAAAAAACATACCAATGTCGTAGAACGCCAAAATCAAACGAAAAAAAGACGAAATTGTAAAGAAAAGAACTGTAAGACTAGATTATTCGCCAAACCATATTCCGTCCCATTTGTTCAACCCTCATGACCACGTAGATTTCATAATGAAAAGAACTTTTTTTTTTGCAAAACTTTTTTTTTATTCGCACG